GCAATCTTGGCTCACTGCGACCTCTGCCTCCTGGGTTCAAGCGATTCTCCTGCCTCAGCCTCCCATGTAGCTGGGATTACAGGTGCCTGCCACCATGCCCAGCTAATTTTTGTGTTTTTGGTAGAGATAGGGTTTCACCATGTTGGCCAGGCTGGTCTCAAACTCCTTACCTCGTGATCCACCTGCCTCGGCCTCCCAAAGTGCTGGGATTACAGGTGTGAGCCACCGCGCCAGGCATCTTTCTTTCTTCTTAAATAGTAGTTTTATTAAAATAGAATTCAAACAGCATAAAAGTCATCATTTTAAAGTATACCATTCTGTGGTTTTTAATCAATCTGTTAATATATTAGTTTGGAAAGTGTTGCTATCTTAGCAACATTGTCTTCCAACCATGAGCATGGGATATCTACTTTTTTAGGGCTTCTTTAATTTCTTTTAATGATGTTTTGGTAGTTATTAATATACAGATCTTACACATCTTTTGTTAAATTTGTTTCTAAGTATTCTTTCTGGTGCTGTTCTAAATTATGTTTCTTGTAATAACATATAGTGTTACTCATTCAAACAATTCCTGCCATTTGAATGGAGTGTTTAAACCATTTAGTGTAATTGCTGATAACATTGAATTTATGTCTGCCATTGTACTATTTGTTTTCCATGGATCTTAATGTCATTTGTGTTCTTCTGTTCTTCCATTTTGCCTTCTTTTTCATTAATTTATTTTATCCTCTTTTAATTCTATTTTTATTTTATTATATTCTTTTGAGTTATTTTTTTCATGGTTGCCCTGAAAAGCAAGCTTTTCTGTGGATTTGCACCTCTCTCTGTAGGAGACTCACTGGGCAAAGCTGAATGACTGTGATTGAAAAGGAGGGGACAGAATGAAGATCGAGGGGACAGTTTGTTATCTCAGAATTGTCTGTGTTGATGGATTTATTCATTAACTTCTTGGTGGATTTTTTTTAACAAAGTAAACCTCAGTTTTTTCTCCGGTGTTCCATTATGCTTCACAACTGTCTGACTGGATAAGATTTCTAATGTCAGTAGCCTTTCCTCTGGGCTTGAAGAAAGGCTTTGTACCCTGCTCCTCTCCTCCCTGCTGCTCTAACTGCCTGTGTTCTTTTCTTGTTTCTTAGGCATCCAGCACTCTGCTGACTCTGACATGCCCCCAGCATCCCCCAGCTCTGCAGGGAGCCCTGGTGTCGGAGACCTTCTCCCGCTTCTCCCTATGGGCGCCTGACCTGAGGGCAGAGCTGTCTGAGTGTGCATAAGCACAGTAGGACATCAGGACCTGGCCGGAAGACATTTCCTCTCCTCCCCTCTGGACTTCTCAGAGGTAACTTTGAATTTGGAAAATGAAGGCTTGCCAACCTTCATTGATCTCTTCTTAGAGGAATCTCAGGCCATTGCTGGAAAAGATGGTAGGCGTGCCTGGGTGGATTTTTCTATACCTCTTAAGCCACACTATATAGGCAGTTTTCTAGTAGGCTTCCCTGGAATGAATTTTAAGATAGCGTTCAACACATTATTTTATGCCATTGTAGTTATTTATACTTTGGAAAGATTTCCAGGTTTGTTCATTTGCTGCTTATAACAATCTTTTGAGACTCCTGTTTTAGATCTCCCTGATTCACTAGAGAACATGTGGATTGGGCTCCCGCGTGTGCCAGGCACAGCTCTAACTCAGAACACAGTGAGGCAGCACCAGTTCCTGCTTGCATGGAGATTCTGTGTTTGTGGGGAGTACAGGTGGAGGATGGGGGTTGGGATAGGCAGGAAGAGACAGATAATTTTCATTTGACAGTAGCAGAAGCAAATTACATGCTATGCAACAAGCTCTAGATATTGTAGAGAAAAGAAAAAGTAGACTATTTAGTCTCGTTTAGTAGGACGGGGCAGGTTGCAGTTTTAAGTGGAGTGGTCAGGGAGGTCTCTAAAGGAGAAATTGAATATGGACTTTAAGGAGGTGCAGGAACTCGCCACTTAGCATCTGGGCAAGAGCGCTGCAGAGAGAAGGACTGGTGGCTGTAGCACACAGACAGCTGGAGGAGCACCCAGCCCAGCGTGGCTGGAAGGACGCAGCACAGAGCCGTGAGCTGGGACTGAGCGGGACATAGCAGGACCTGACTGTGCCTGCCATGGCAGGCTGTTGGGGAATTCTGGGTTCATGATGGGAAATCAGTGTAGGGTTTTAAGCAGAGAAGCAGGGTCTAATTCATTTTAATCAGCTTACTCTGGCCTCTACA